CCATGGTTTTTTTTGTTTTTATTTTTTATTTTAAACAATGTCTATTACATTTACATGTCTGTACACTCAAGAAAACTTAAAGGAAATGTAAAGTGCTTTGTCGTTGGACTTTCCTTATAGTTGATACTCAATGTAAGAAAAAAGTAAATATCAGTCATATGGCAAACCCAAAGACAAACCACTTCACATCTTCCAACCATCTGCTAACAATAATCAAGTAGATCCCACAATGCATTGTGGGATCATTCTTCTAATGAAACCATCTTCAATGAAATCAAAGCAGATTATGAAACAGCCCTAAAAGATAGTGGATTTTCGGTAACACTTACTATGGTCAATGAATGCAGAACGTTTCCTTATAAGGAAACGGGTAATGTTACCATTACAAACTCAATAACAACTACAATTGAAAAGAATTTATTTAAAATTAATATAAGATTTTTACAACTATTTCACAATCAGTAAGAGATTTAATTACCACAAAACAAAATAACAATGTAAAATGTCTACAAAACATCACAAGAAATACATAGGTGAAACCTCTAGAAATTTAGATGAAACATCTTTACAAAAGGAATCTTTTGTAAAACAATACACATACAATACATTCGTCATTTATCATACTATGTCTGACTATAATTTCAGGTTAAAGAATGCAGTTTTAATTAAAGGGAAAAATAATTTATTAAACTGAAAATGTATTGAAAGTGGACTAACTTCAGAATTCTTTTCAATGAATATCTTTCCTTTCTTCACAAAACTGTGGAACCATCTCTTAATTGCTGTTGCTCCCAGGTTCACTCTGACCCGGAGTGGTAGCACCTGTTAGGGCCTCAGCTATGGGAAAATAGTTAACCCCCAAACTGGAGTCAAAACATGAAAGTATGAACATTTTTATAGTAAAAATACTAGAAATACAAAAAAAAAATTGTCAGCAATATATATCTCTAAGGAAAAAATATTACCAACAAAAAAATTTTTGTAAATGAAATTATTAAATTTCAGCATTGAATAACCCTTGCATTATTTACATTATTCAGGCTGTTATCCTCACCTTCATTGCCATATTCACAACATTTCGGCTGTTGTATCTCTGAGATGTGGTATTATGATTACTTGCATTATTTACATGATTCGGACCATTATCCCCATCTTCATTGCCATATTCAATGCAATGAAGATTACAGTCCAAATAATGTAAATAATGCAAGTAATCATAATACGTCATCTCATCGCAGATATTAAATAACCTATAAGGAGTTGATATGCAGCTAAACAAACAAACACAAAACTACAGATAATACAATGTGGAATTTTTAAAAATAATAGCAATAAAAATGAAAACAATTGTGTTAAAACAAGTAATGAAAGATAATGGATATCAAAATTTAAAGCTAAGAATCTTTGGATCTTGAACATTTTCAATATAAATCTGTAATTAACATTTTTTTGCAATTCCTCAACCAAAGATATATATATAAAAAACTGACTCCATTGATAAAGACATGTCTACATGAGCAAGACCAGCCTGGGTGTATAGACAGAGAGATAATGACATCATTATCACCTGCACAGGTAGATAATCAAGAAGTTGAAAGAGAGAAACCTACACTAAAAGCAAATACGTTAATGGAGATGACAGCGGCTCTGAAAATGATTATCATTTTCAGTTAATCAATAGTTGAATGTCTGTGGAAATATAGGATGTGCTTGGATTTTGGCAAGATTCCCCAGCATTGTATTAAAAGAGGTGAAGGTGTGGGTTAGGTGGATAGTGAGTTTGTACCCTGGGGGAGGTCACAGAGATTAGGGAGATGGGGGTGGTAAGGGAGTTGGTTATGTGAATTTAATTGATTCCAATCAGAACAGAAAGTGCGCAAGTTGCATTTAATGAAGTGTGATTATTTCTCTTGAGAAGAGGGAGGGGTGATTTTTTCAACAGGTTTTAGGAGAGGGGATGCCAATACTGTGGCTTATCTCTGAAAGCAGACCTTATAAGGTAAAGGATTTCATAAAAAGTATGTACAGCAAAATATCTGCTAACATGTATTTTGCATCTATGCATGTTCTACAGTTCGAAAGTAAGAGTTGACCTATGGTAATTTTTTTAAAATGGCCCAAAAAATAGTTTGTTTTTTGTTTTTTTTTATTTTAAATAAGAGAAAATTATTATACATGGTTAAAAAAAGTGAGAAATGATTTTTTTTTTTTATTAGGAATTTTGCAATGACAAAAAAAAAAAAAAAGCATTTTATGATTAAATTTTGCTCTCGTCAAAATATCCTCCTTTAGCCTTGATTACTGCAGTACAAATTTTTGGCATTCATTACAAAAAGTTTTTCAAAGTTTAATAATTGATTCCATTCTCCAACCCCCCCCCCCACCAGTGATTCTAAGAGAGCATTTGCTTTTTTTCATTTTTTTATTTTTTTTTTTACTCTTCTATCAACTTCATTGCATGCTAATGCTGGGGATGGTTTCAAACTTTTGAACTGTAATGTATATGTATGAAAATACGTGTGTGTGTGTGTGTGTGGAAAGACTATTGAGTTGATTAAAAACTACTTTCAGCTGCCACAAACTGAGATTACAGTGTTTTCCAGACTAACTCTGGTAACTCGTACAGCTGTTACCATTCGGGTTGCAGATGCTAAAAAAAGAAAATAACATTCATGAAATATCAATACTTATTGAAGACCAACTCAGATTTCTGTAATTATTCACTCACTCCTCAGGGCTCTGAACAAGAATACTGAAATCATTCTTATCGAGAGTCCCAATGAGTCATTGAAATATTATATATATATATATATATATATATATATATATATATATATATATATATACACACACACACACACACATCTATTTACAATCAAGATAAATAAAAATGTACATTAAAAATCTTGTTCATATAATTCTTGATTACATGTTATGTCGTTACTCCCTGAATTCTTATAAATAATTTCCTGGTGTAGATGTTTTTAGCAGGTGTCAGTGTCTAATGGGTCCAAAAGATCTATTAACACAATGAGGGGTTACTGATAAAGTGTTCGACTGATCAAGAGGAGATTCAAAAATAAAATCTGATTTGGTCCTTTGGTCATCCTAAGAGGAGTGGATTGGGCTGAGAACTTTTCGGCAGCACCCACAAAGATTTCACTGACACCCAGGGGTTTTGTCATATCTCCATTCATTCAATCTCTTAGAGGATTATTATCTATTCATATCTGTTCATTTGATTCCAGAAAATGTAAGGAACAAGAGATTAAACTAACAGACAAGTCATTGATTTTTAGAAGACCAGACTTTTCAAAACCCTGGCCTTTTCATAATGAACGAATTGCATGTCTAAAACATCCAGAAAGTAAGAAAAAATATAATATGGCTTCAGTTTTTGTTGGTTCCAGGATTATGTAAAAGTAATTTTCTATTTCAAATGTTTTATGAAAGGAAGAAAAATGCAAGTGAACAGGTCTAAAAAGAAATAAAAAAAATATTCAGAATATAAATTCCTTTTTTTTTTTTTTTCTAAGAAAATTAATTTCTTTTCTTTCTCTCCTTTTCATTTTCACTCTCACTCATGCTTTCTCTTTTATTTGTTTGCCTCTTTTTGTCCCTCTATTCATTAATCTCCCTTTCTCTGTTGGCTCAGCTTTTCTCTCTCTCTCTGCGTTGGCTCAGCTTTTCTCTCTCTCTCTGCGTTGGCTCAGCTTTTCTCTCTCTCTCTGCGTTGGCTCAGCTTTTCTCTCTCTCTCTCTCTGCGTTGGCTCAGCTTTCTCTCTCTCTCTCTCTGCGTTGGCTCAGCTTTTCTCTCTCTCTCTCTCTGCGTTGGCTCAGCTTTTCTCTCTCTCTCTCCGTTAGCTCAGCTTTTCTCTCTCTCCGTTAGCTCAGCTTTTCTCTCTCTCCGTTAGCTCAGCTTTTCTCTCTCTCCGTTAGCTCAGCTTTTCTCTCTCTCTCTCTCTCTCTCTCTCCCGTTGGCTCTCTCTTTCTCTCTCTCTCTCTCTCTCTCTCCGTTAGCTCAGCTTTTCTCTCTCTCTCTCTCCGTTAGCTCAGCTTTTTCTCTCTCTCTCTCTCCGTTGGCTCAGCTTTTCTCTCTCTCTCTCTCTCTCTCCGTTGGCTCAGCTTTTCTCTCTCTCTCTCTCTCTCTCCTTTGGCTCAGCTTTTTCTCTCTCTCTCTCTCTCTCTCTCTCCGTTGGCTCAGCTTTTCTCTCTCTCTCTCTCTCTCTCTCCGTTGGCTCAGCTTTTCTCTCTCTCTCTCTCTCTCTCTCCGTTGGCTCAGCTTTTCTCTCTCTCTCTCTCTCTCTCCGTTGGCTCAGCTTTTTTCTCTCTCTCTCTCTCTCCGTTGGCTCAGCTTTTCTCTCTCTCTCTCTCTCTCTCTCTCCGTTGGCTCAGCTTTTCTCTCTCTCTCTCCGTTGGCTCAGCTTTTCTCTCTCTCTCTCTCTCTTTCCGTTGGCTCAGCTTTTCTCTCTCCCTAGCACATACAGCCATATTACATTGGAGTTAAGCAACATCAAGCCTGGTCAGTACCTAGATGGGTGGCTGATTGGGAATACCAGGTGTTGTAAGCTTGAGTGCAACTGGTGTAATCAATAATGGCTATGAATTGGAAATCAGGGAGCTGTGCTCCATTTCCAATTATATTTACTTACACATAAATACCCTTGGGAAAGGTATGAATCCATTTCTTCTCCCCTCAACTATGGGTTAATTAGTAGGAATTGTATCACTAAATCGTTATTATCTACAAAAAAAAGTGACAATCTAAAAATATTTTCTGGCTTTAAATAAGTTGCAAAAGGTTGATAATCCATAAAAAAAATCAGTTATTCCATCTTTCTCTCTCCCTATGCTCCCTCTCTTTTCTCTCGGCCGTTATTATCTTCTCTCTTGCTTCTTTTTTTTTCTCCTCTTTATTCTTTCTTTCCTTCCCTGAATCCTTATCTTCATAATCCATCACTTTTGGTTATGGGCACCTTCTCATCACAAAGTCTTCTGCTATGACAGCCTTCTGTCAATTGAGTCACGCCATCAGCTTCCTTGTTGTGTTGTCGGTGAGAAATTTATTGATTATCAGCAAGCAAGGGAATCAAATTTCACTTCCCCATCTTTTTTCCTCCAATTTTACTCACCAATGTGCAGGCAATTTCTCACTCTCCTTTCTCTCTTCTACTATTGGCAATTTTCCCGCCACCTCTCTCTTCCCCCTCTCTCTCTTTCATTTCCTTCACTCCCTCTCTCTCTCTCTGCCCATCCTGCTGCCTCTCTCACAACTCTTTTTTTATCCTTTTAACGTTTGATCCTCTTTTTGGAATTTTCATTTCCCCTCTCTCTTTCTCTCATTTCCTTCTTCTTTCTCTCTCTCATTTCCTTCACTCTTTCTCTCTCTCATTTCCTTCACTCTTTCTCTCTCTCTCATTTCCTTCCTCTTTTCTCTCTCTCTCTTCATTTCCTCTCCTCTTTCTCTCTCTCTCTCATTTCCTTCACTCTTTCTCTCTCTCTCATTTCCTTCACTCTTTCTCTCTCTCTCATTTTCCTTCACTCTTTCTCTCTCTCTCATTTCCTTCACTCTTTCTCTCTCTCTCTCATTTCCTTCACTCTTTCTCTCTCTCTCTCATATTTCCTTCCTCTTTTCTCTCTCTCTTCTATCTTTTCCTCTCTCTCTTTCCTTCTCTCTCTCTCATATTTCCTTCCTCTTTCTCTCTCTCTCATATTTCCTTCTCTTTTCTCTCTCTCATTTCATATTTCCTTCTCTCTTTCTCTCTCTCTCTCTCTCTCTTTCTCTCCCCTTGACTCTCTCTCTCTCTCTCAGCTCTCTCTCTTTCAGTCTCCTCTCATTTCTCTCTTTTCATTTCCTTGACTCTCTCTTCTCATTTTCTTTCTTTCTTCATTTCTTTTCTTCTCTCTCATTTTTTGTCTCTTTCTCACCTTTTTTTTTCCTCCTTTGTTTTCATTTCCTTTTTCTCTCTCTCTCATTTTTTTCTCTCTCTCTCTCTCATTTCCTTGTATCTCCTTTTTTTTTCCCTTTCTCTCTCTCTCCACAATTCTCTCTCTTTTTCATTTTCTTTGTCTTCCTTTCTTTTTTTTCTTTTCTTCTGTTCATTTTGTTTTTGCACCCTTTTTTTCTTCTTGTTTTCAAACTTTTTTTCTTCTTCTTTTTTTGTTTTTCTTCTTCAATTTTTTCTTTATTTTTCTTCTTCTTTGTTTTTTCTTCTTCTTTGTTTTTTCTTCTTCTTTGTTTTTTCTTCTTTTTCCATCCTTTTTTTTCCACATAATCTTTTTTTTTTTTTTTTTTTTTTTTTTTTTAATGAAAGAATTTAAGTTTTAAAATTTTTTTACCTCAGCAGCAAGTCTAGTACCTGCAAAATCTGCCATTATTTTTAATACATGGTACCTCTGTTTACTCCTAGTACTTAAGAGTCTGTGAGAAGATTATTTTATGTCCGACGTCCTCATGGAAAACACAAGGTCTGCAACAACTGATTACACCCACTTCAAATTTATAAAAATCAAATCAAATATTTCCAGATATCCTGGAAAAGAGACAATTACTTTTCTATTTTCAAGTGAGAGCCATGGACAAATTAATGAAGATATGGCTGCAGTAATTCAACAAATTGATCTGTGATAAATCTAGTTGTCATAATTGACTTCAGCAAATATGCTTGATAAAAGTTTCAAGTAAATTTATCTGAGAATTTGGAATCTTTTTCCTTTTGTCAAACAATTTATAATTGAGCAGTTAACACCTTAGAAAAATTTATCAATTTATTTGACAGTTTTAATTATTTAAGAATTTTTGTTTTAGTAATTTTCTAACTTTGTTGGCAGTATTTTGCATCTGGTGGTCTATCAAATTTACTCAGCACTTTTCTCTGCTTCATCTTCTCATAGTTCTACAGAATCACAGGACTGAGTGTTAAGGTTTTCTTATAGTCTTCTAGATATGAGAAACAACTTTTATTCTTAAGAGCCTACCTTTTTGTGAGGAATATGAATTTATAGCACCATAAATTTCATGAAGTTCTGAACAACTTCTAATGAAAACTAGACCTATGGGAACTTGTATTCAACTGAAGAATATATTTTGGTTTAAATATTTATTTTTAAAAGCAAAAAAAATAGAAAAGATTTATGAAATAATCCCTATTCAATATTTGTCTATATCTCTGAGATGAGTCATTATGACTACTTGCGTTATTTACATTATTCAGACTGTAATCCTCATCTTTATTGTCATGTTCACAAGGTTTTGGCCGTTGTACACTCCGGCCTTCTTCAGGTGATTGGAATTTTGAACTGAACCCTTTATTTCGTCCACTGGAGTAGACTGTTCTACTTCCACGTGCCATGCCCCTTCTGGATGTCTCGGTTATTTCCCTTTAACTCAATTCTTCAAGAATACATGGCCTAGTGGATAAAGATGTTAGGACCACTGACTAGACCCAAAGAGTTGTGAGTTCAATACCAGTCCACAGCAGTAGTGAAACAAAACTTGGGGAATTGAATTAAAGGGAAGTAACTGAAATATCCGGAAGAGGCATGACATTTGGAACTAGAACAATATACCCAGGTGGATGAAGATAAAGGGTTCAGTTTGTAATTCCTGAAGAAGGCTAGAGCATACAACAGCCAAAACATTGTGAATATGGCAGTGAAGATGAGGATAACAGTCTGGATAATGTAAATAATTCATGTAATCCTTATTCATCAGGATTTTATAATATGGTTTCAATATTTCTTTCCTAATTACCTTTGGATTACTATGGATTCATTTTTAATTGTAAGAACATCAATGCTGTCTATGACATTCCTTTGTTTATGTTATTGGGCGGGGAGGGGGGATGTCTATGTCCTTTTTTCATTTATGTACTTTTGTTGATTTTGAATTAAATTTTCTTTCCCAAAATAGCAACATTTTCCAAAGTCTCTAATGTATCTGATGAAGATGTCACTCAACACTGAAATATCGAACACATATTTTACATCCCCTGCTTATAGAGGTGCAAAAAATGTTCTTTTTCATCAAAAAAAATAAAATCTTTAAACTTTCCAACATTATTGAACAATGGAGTTCTCATTTATTTCCAGTATTTTTTATCCTTATCTGCTAAATTCATAATTACATTCTCCTAAAACTTCTCTAGATTCCAGGGAATTTAAACTTTTTTCATCAAGACAATTCTCTAAAGACTGTAATAAATGCTTATCTGAAAATGGTAGAATGTGGCAAGACTTCCTGTTTAATTCTGTGACAGGTTTTGTATGGTTTCCAAAGAAACATCCAACTCTCCAATCATTTCTGAATGTAGTTAAAACTAAATACTTCTAATGCCATTTAATGTTAAAAAAAAAAAAAAAAGTTTTGGCCAACCCAATATTTTTTATTTTTTATTTTTTTTTATTTATTTTTTTATTTTTTTATTTTGAAAATGACATTGTATCTGTTGCGTGAATTCCTAAAAATTTCTCTCCTGTTAACCACGACTACTCAAAAGATATCCACAAATATTTTCTCTTGAAATATTCACAAATGACATTGCCAAAAACAAAACTCCAGATCATTTGTCCCCAGTCATGATAAAATGAGATTTTAATGTTGATGGAAAGGAAATTTTGGTTTGCAGAAACTAAAATACTAGTTTTGCTTGGTCTAGTGAGTTTTTTTTTTTTTAATACATTGTCCTTCAAGCAACTTGAAAATTTCCTTTGGAAAATTCAACCTCAGAACCAAAACCAAAAACTTTTGAATGATTTTAGAAACATTATCACAGTATATACAATGTATACATTGAGGAAAGTAGGCCTTTTTTCGTTTTGTTAAACTCGATTTCATCCCTTTAAGATAATGATCATTAAAAACAAAATTGAAAAAAGCTTAAGATTTTTGTTTTACTCAAAATACTTACAGTAATATTTGAAGTAAAATATATACAGAATAGATTTTTAAAAAAAAAGAAAATGAAAAATTATAAATTAATACAGTAAATATAAATATATGTAGCATATTAGGATAAAGAGCGTGATATACATCACATGTACACCAATACATTTTTGGCTAAACGTCCATTCAGCCAAATGTCTGAGTACTGGCTGTTTTTATTTTAACTTCACATTTACTGCGATTAATCAAACAAATAGATGAAAATGTAGTCACTATTTGTGTTTGTTTTTTTGTTTTTTTTGTATTAGAAGAATCAGATCTGTTGAAATTTGAGACAAACTTAAAAAGACCATCAAAATAAATGAAACCAATCTCACAAGTCAGGTATGATTACCTGAAAAGAATTTAGATTTTTACGAAAATATTGTATACTAGCAGCATGGCCTGGCATTGCCTGTGCTTGATTTAAAAATCGGACGACTCGTATAGCATTCGCTATCACTTGACTTAAAATATTTTTGCCCTTCCTTGCCTTTAAAGGAGTGCCCTTTGCCGTGCTGATGTTGCTACATACCTTACTTCTTGCCTATCTCACACTGCAAATTTTTTTCTAAGCTCTATACTAAACATTAAATCAGTTACGAAAAAAGAACTAAACAAAATGAACACAAAATGATCAGCTTTAAAAATGGACTCGTAACTGGAAAAACAGAATGAAAAAAGAATGTTAACAAATGCTTTTTCACACTCAACCCAGTTCTGCAGAATCAGAATCAACGTTGAGTTTAAGCAAGCGAATGAGCCAATTAGAGTAAAGTGCCATGCAGATTTAAATGTTTCCCACTTGTGATGAATGCAACTATCAATTTTTTTTTTGCATGCTAGCTAACATTCGTGTCAGTCAGCTGTTGGCTTTCAAGCTAGCCAATAGAATCTTCCTGCCTATTCGTGGCAGCCAGCTATTGGCTCTCACTCTGGCCAGTACAAAATGGCCGCAAACTACATAAAAACTGCTGTAGAAGCATGAAAAAATCGATTATTTCCACTATCAATGGGAGTTGGGAAATGCAAAGTCAGTCTTGACCTTTCCACTAACTTGGAGCATGTGCATGTAAATTTTTGTGCAAATCCATTGAAAATTGCAGCTGTGCATTCATTACACACACACACACACACACACACACACTGTCTTTTATAGATAGAGATCTATAATCAACTGTGACAAGGAGGGTGTTCTTTCTGAGAAGTCCTGTGCCTTGAGCATCTATTGAGACTTAAGCTCAACCCAGACCTTAAGTGGAATATATATATATATATATATATATATATATATATATAGTTCATCATGTTGGAAATACCTGATTCCTCCTATTATCATTTACCTTTACAAGAGCCAGATCAGACCAAAAATGGAATACTGCTGACATATTTGGGCTGAAGGTACCCAGTCTTCACTTTCCAGTCTCAAAAGTGTCTACACAGACTTGTTGGTGATTGAATTATTTTCCACCAAACTACCCACAGACAAAACATTACAAACCTCTCACTACACTATTTCTACTTCCATGGAAATTGTTTAGACATACACCATTCTTGTTTCACTAGTTCTAAATTTCATAACTAAGACATGTCAAACCACATGCACACATTGGTAATGAACCAGCCTTATTCCCTTTATAGTAAATTGGTAAGTTCCACGCAAACGGCTTTTCTTTCCTAAACACTACAATCTTAACTCTAGAACACTAACCATTAATTAAAGTTACACCACTACTAACCATGGGTATATCATACCTGATTTTGAAAATATCAAAAAAAATATTAAATAAAACTGCTCTCTATTAATCACCACAGAGATCCTTCCCTGCCCTCCATTAGAATGTCTGGCGCTCAACTTCTCGAGAGCACC